CAGCCGCGGCTCTTTGAGGATTCCCTCTTGTTAACATTTCATACCAGTGCTTACTATTAAGTGTACGCCGTCTGCTAGGATACGTTGCTTTTTTGTATGGGGAAAATAAAAACATGACCTATTACTCTAGATACATGAAGTTTATTTAAATTAAAGTTTAGCCATTACGACTTCATCGAGGTTGAAACGTTTACGGCGTTACACAAATATGCGCGTGCACAATATCTGGAGCTATCCGTTAAGAGTTTATTTCACTTTAATGGCAAGACTATTTTACAGTAAAATCACAAGTTCTCTTACATCTGCTCTGTCCACGTGCGTGTTTTGAGCTGCGTTAAACTTTTTTTTTTAAATCTGAAAACGACAGCAAAACTAATAATAATAATTTATACTCGGCAGATACAACTAAAACTCTTTACACATCGGTTGATCATGGCTACAATTTACTTCCGTTGCTCACAATGTAACTATACTTAACAAGGGAAATTCCATAAACACAAGTGTAAATGCACCATACTGGTTCTCTCTCTCTCATATATATATATATAAATACAACGCGAATTTAATTACATCTTTGATCATTCATTAATTAAATCAAAACTAAGATTTAACAATAACTTTGCACAAAACAAACATTAAGGGCAAACTGAAACTCAATTTCACCAATGATTGATGAAGACAGTATTTGTCACTCGGACAGTTCAGTACGCTGGAGTCGTACACACGTGCCATTATTATGGCTAAGTTAGCCAGCGAGTCCCGATTCTAGGAACGTTCCACCAAGCAAGTGATTTTGTTGAGGGGGGGGGGAGAAATATATATTTATTATAACAATAGAAACGGCGTTTCGTACGCTCTCTTTCGGTTTTAGCACCGGTGGCTGTATATTGCTGAAAAGGCTCACCAATTCTAAAATAAACCTAACGTAATATAACTGATAGCCTTTACTTTGGTAAACTTTTTCGTACACTGCACAAAACGAAAAGTCTTGTAACATTTAATACAAACTACTCGTAGACTGTTAATATAACTGCGTGCTAATTAACAAGTAATTTTAATGTATAAATATGTATATATGAAACTTCCGTAAATATCAATCCCCCCCCCGAAATTAATCTATTTTCATATCTGGTAAACAATGGCCGTCACGTGTATATGTCACTCAGATAAGACGTGACAAAACTATAGATGAAACTTACAGTTCGAAGAAATAAATAAAATACTGAAAATGCAAGTAGGTGATGCATGATACTTTTTTTTGTAAGACATAGCTCTACTTATAAATGTTTTAGCTACATGAAACAATAAATTCTAATTACTGCTAAGTAAAAGCGAGCATCTGATGTACTTCGATATAAAATAATCGTGGTATGGTTAAAACATTTATAAGTAGAGCTATGTTTTACAAGTTAAAACATTTATAAGTAGAGCTATGTCTTACAGGTTCTCGCTGTAAATCAGGCACAAAACCGAATTGGCTCCGTCTTCATGATAAACCTTTCTGTTTACACGTTAATTCTCACAAAAGGAGAGAAAACTAATGTCTCATTTGATCAGATTCACGCACTATTTCACATGTAGCCCAAATTATTCAGGTCATTCAGATTTTAAAAGAATACACTTTCTTACACATTTTTTTCAACAAATTACTGTATTAATGTAAGTCGTCAGGAGATGTATTTATGAAATTGTTATATTCTTAAGGAGATAACTAATATC